TAACCATCTCCTCAAAGTCCCAGCCATTTCTTACCAGCAGAGCTACACCACCACCGCCTCTTCCTTCCCTCTCTTTCTTCATAACATAATATTCCTGTGGGAACACTGCATTTGTTATGGTTTTCGTTAGCTCTGTTTCTGTGAGTGCTATTATGTCTGGGTTTTCCTCTAGTACCCATTCTCCAAGCTCATTTGCGTGTGTACTCACCTATTTGTGCCTGTGGGGGTTGAGCTCTGGCTCTTTGGTCCCGCCTCTCAACTGTCAATCAACTGGTGTACAGGTTCCTGAGCCTATTGGGCTCTTTCATATCTACATTTGAAACTGTATGGAGTCAGCCTCCACCACATCACTGCCTAATGCATTCCATCCGTTAACTACTCTGACAGTGACTAAGTGACAGATACCTGGTTACCTGGTTGATGGGGTTCTGGGAGTTCTTCTACTCCCCAAGCCCGGCCCGAGGCCAGGCTTGACTTGTGAGAGTTTGGTCCACCAGGCTGTTGCTTGGAGCGGCCCGCAGGCCCACATACCCACCACAGCCCGGTTGGTCCGGCACTCCTTGGAGGAATAAATCTAGTTTCCTCTTGAAGATGTCCACGGTTGTTCCGACAATATTTCTTATGCTTGCTGGGAGGACGTTGAACAACCGCGGACCTCTGATGTTTATACAGTGTTCTCTGATTGTGCCTATGGCACCTCTGCTCTTGAAATTGTCTGGATCTTCCACCTTCATGTTGTTTATTGGAGTGTTAAACATGTCCTCATACTGCTTTTTTAGGATTTCACTAATTTCTTTGTCATCCTCCGTGTATGAACCTTCACTTGTACGAATAGGTCCAATACTGGCAGTGGTTTTTGCTTTTGATTTCACATATGAGAAGAAATATTTTGGATTTTTCTTTATTTCCTGAATTGCTTTCTGTTCTAACTGCCTTTCTTCAGTTTCATATGAGTGTTTCAATTTCCGCTCGATTTCTTCAATCTCCCTATTTAAATTATTCCTTCTTTGACGGGAAATTCGTGTCTGCATAAGCAGTTCCGTTATTTTTTTCCTGCGTTTATAGTGTCGTCTGCGTTCTCTTTCTACGTTAGATCTCTTTCTGGCTTTCCTCAAAGGAACATGTTTCAGACAAACTTGATACGCTTCTGAAGTCAGTTTTTCTATTCCTTCTGTAGGACTTGTATTATTTAGAACAGTTTCCCATGGAATGTTTGTAAGTTCCCTGTTTATTATCTCCCAGTCTATCCTTTTATTATTAAAATTGAATTTACTGAATAGCCCCTCTCGCTTTATCAACGTTTTAGGTCTATTCTGAGTATTGATGGTCGTTTGCACTTCAATGAGCTTGTGATCTGAGTATGTGGTATCTGATATCAGATGTGGTATCAGATGTGTTGAATGTGGCAATAAATGTACAACAGGTGCCTGGATAGAGTTCTGGGAGTTCTTCTACTCCCCAAGCCCGGCCCGAGGCCAGGCTTGACTTGTGAGAGTTTGGTCCACCAGGCTGTTGCTTGGAGCGGCCCGCAGGGCCACATACCTACCACAGCCTGGTTGGTCCGGCACTCCTTGGAGGAAACAATCTAGTTTCCTCTTGAAGATGTCCACGGTTGTTCCGGCAATATTTCTTATAGTCGCTGGGAGGACGTTGGACCACCGCGGACCTCTGATGTTCATACAGTGTTCTCTGATTGTGCCTATGGCACCCCTGCTCTTCACTGGTTCTATTCTGCATTTTCTTCCATATCGTTCACTCCAGTACGTTGTTATTTTACTGTGTACCAGGTGTATATTATTTGATATCTCTCTCGTCTTCTTTTTAATGAGTACATTTGGAGAGCTTTGAGACGATCCCAATAATTTAGGTGCTTTATCGAGTCTATGTTTGCCAAATATGTTTTCTGTACTCTCTCTATTTCAGCAATCTATCCTGCTCTGAAGGGGGAAGTGAGTACTGAGCAGTACTCGAGACGGGACAACACAAGTGACCTGAAAAGTACAACCATTGTGATGGGATCTCTGGATTTGAAAGTTCTCGTAATCCATTCTATATTTTTTCTGGCTGACGCAATATTTGCTTGGTTAAGCAGATTTGATTGTATTTGTACCTTTAGTTCTTGATAATTTCACCCTGACTTCAGGTTGGATCTGTGACGATACGAGGCATTAAGGCTCTATAGAGAGGCGAAAAGACTGAGTTATGGGACAAGTAAGGAAATAACATTGTTTAAGGTCTTCATTTTTATCATAGCTAAGTTCCTGGAATTTGTCTTTGTTAAGTATCATGTTTTTTTTCTGCTGCCCATTCGAAAACTTTATTAATATCTGCTTGTAGTTTTTCAATGTCTTCAGCAGAGGTAATTTTCATGCTGATTTTTGTCTCATCAGCAAAGGATGACACGGAGCTGTGACTTGTATTTGAGTCTATATTTAATATGAGAATAAGGAAAAGCAGTGGTGCAAGGACTGTACTTTGAAGTACAGAGCTTTTTACTGCACATGGATCGATTTTATATGGTTGACTGTTACTCTTTGTGTTCTGTTCGACAGAAATGTAATATTCATCATTATACTTTACTGCTATTCATATTGACCTCATTTTGTGTGCTATCACTCCATGGTCACATTTATCGAATGCCACTGCGAAGTCCGTGTATACAACATCTGCATTCAGTTTTTCTTCTAAAGCTTCAGTGATTTTGTCATAGTGGTCAAGTAGCTGTGAGAGGCACGATCTTCGCGCTCTGAATCCATGTTGGCCTGGGTTGTGGAGGTCATTGGTCTCCATGAAACTGGTGACTTGACTCCTTATTAATCTATTAAATACATTTATTATATGGGACGTTAGAGCAGTTGGTCTATAATTTTTAACCAATGCTCTGCTCCCTCCCTTGTGGAGAGGAGCTGTCTGCTCATTTAACCCGCTGGTATCTTCCCAGTTTCTGAGCTCCTCCTCCACACTATACTGGGTGCCTGTGCTACTGGCACCTTGCATTTCTATAAAAATTTTGAATTCCATGAGTCTTGACACACGGGGCTAAGTGCATGGGCATTGTTCAATTTGTATTTCAAAATCTGCCACGTTCTTGTTGATATCAGTTGTATTTACAGGGGTTTGGATATGCCGCATAATTAAGTTGTCTGGATCTTCCACTTTCATGTTGTTTATCAGAGTGCTAAACATGTCCTCATACTGCTCTTTTAGGATTTCACTAATTTCTTTATCATCCTCCGTGTATGAACCTTCACTTGTACGAATAGGTCTGATACTGGCAGTGGTGTTTGCTTTTGATTTCGCTTATGTGAAGAAATATTTAGTTTTTCTTTATTTCTTCTATGGATTTATCTCCTAATTATATTTCTTCAATCTGGTATGATTGAGCGAGTGTCTGCTCTATTTCTTCATTCTGCCAGTTTAAATTATTTCTTCTTTGTAGGGATAGTCGTATCTGCTTAAGCAGTTCCATTATTTTTGTCTTCTTTTGTAATGTCGTCTGCGTTCTCTCTCTACATTGGACATCTTTTTGGCTTTCCTCAAAGGAACATGTTTCAGACAGACGTCATATACTTCGAAAGTCAGTTGTATTGATTGTCTATTAGTGATGAATGAGTTGAATGAAGCTATAAATAACATATTTGTTGTATGCACTTTTAAATGTATGAGGTGTGTTGAATGTTGCTATAAATATATAGGAACATTACAGCAAAAATATTTGCAAGTGATCAAGATCAATAATTGTGTCGTTTCGTACGGAAATGTTTCCAAGTGACTCTTGCGTCCCTCTCCTACTAGCATTGAATCTGTTCATTGATGTTAAAGCTCTTATGGATCACCGCTTCTTACTCTTGTGTTATATTGTATTAAAGGGTAAGTAATATTGGAAATGTTTCTCATGCCTCAGTGTATCATGCATGTGTATCATGTATATGTGTCTGTGTCTCATGCCTTTGTGTATCATGTATATGTGTCTGTGTCTCATGCCTCTGTGTATCATGTATATGTGTCTGTGTCTCATGCCTTTATGTATCATGTATATGAGTCTGTGTCTCATGCCTCTGTGTATCATGTATATGTGTCTGTGTCTCATGCCTTTGTGTATCATGTATATGTGTCTGTGTCTCATGCCTCTGTGTATCATGTATATGTGTCTGTGTCTCATGCCTTTGTGTATCATGTATATGTGTCTGTGTCTCATGCCTCTGTGTATCATGTATATGTGTCTGTGTCTCATGCCTTTGTGTATCATGTATATGTGTCTGTGTCTCATGCCTCTGTGTATCATGTATATGTGTCTGTGTCTCATGCCTTTGTGTATCATGTATATGTGTCTGTGTCTCATGCCTTTGTGTATCATGTATATGTGTCTGTCTCATGCCTTTGTGTATCATGTATATGTGTCTGTGTCTCATGCCTCTGTGTATCATGTATATGTGTCTGTGTCTCATGCCTTTGTGTATCATGTATATGTGTCTGTGTCTTATGCCTCTGTACTCACCTAATTGTACTCACCTAATTGTGCTTGCGGGGGTTGAGCTTTGGCTCTTTGGTCCCGCCTCTCAACTGTCAATCAACTGGTGTACAGGTTCCTGAGCCTACTGGGCTCTATCATACCTACATTTGAAACTGTGTATGGAGTCAGCCTCCACCACATCACTTCCTAGTGCATTCCATTTATTAACTACTCTGACACTGAAAAAATTCTTTCTAACGTCTCTGTGGCTCATCTGGGTACTAAGTTTCCACCTGTGTCCCCTTGTTCGTGTCCCACCCGTGCTGAAGAGTTTGTCTTTGTCCACCCTGTCAATTCCCCTGAGAATTTTGTAGGTGGTTATCATGTCTCCCCTTACTCTTCTGTTTTCCAGGGATGTGAGGTTCAGCTCCTTTAGCCTTTCCTCGTAGCTCAATCCTCTCAGTTCCGGGACGAGCCTGGTGGCATACCGCTGAATCTTCTCTAATGTGTATGTGTACATGTGTATGTGTACACATACATGTGTATCATGTATATGTGTCTGTGTCTCATGCCTTTGTGTATCATGTATATGTGTCTGTGTCTCATGCCTCTGTGTATCATGTATATGTGTCTGTGTCTCATGCCTCGGTGTATCATGCCTCAGTATCTCATGCCTCGGTGTATCATGCCTCTGTGTATCATGTATATGTGTCTGTGTCTCATGCCTCGGTGTATCATGCATGTGTATCATGTATATGTGTCCATGCCTTGGTGTATCATGCTTCGGTGTATCATACCTCAGTGTATTATGTCTCAATCTATCATGCCTCAGTGTATCATGCCTCAGTGTATCATGCCTCAGTGCCTCATGCCTCAGTGTATTATGCCTCAGTATCTCATGCCTCATTGTATCATGCCTCAGTGTATTATGCCTCAGTGTATTATGCCTCAGTATCTCATGCCTCAGTGCATCATGCCTCAGTGTATCATGCCTCATTGTATCATGCCTCAGTATCTCATACCTCAGTGTATCGTACCTCAGTGTATTATGCCTCAATCTATCATGCCTCAGTGCATCATGCATCAGTGTATCATGCCTCATTGTATCATGCCTCAGTATCTCATGCCTCGGTGTATCATACCTCAGTGTATTATGCCTCAATCTATCATGCCTCAGTGTATCATGCCTCAATACCTCAGTGCATTATGCCTCAGTATCTCATGCCTCATTGTATCATGCCTCAGGGTATCATGCCTCAGTGTATCATGCCTCAGTGTATCATGCCTCAGTGTATCATGCCTCAGTGTATCATGCCTCAGTGTATCATGCCTCAGTGTATCATGCTTCAGTGTATCATGCCTCAGTGTATCATGCCTCAGTGCATCATGCCTCAGTGCATCATGCCTCAGTGTATCATGCCTCAGTGTATCATGCCTCAGTGTATCATGCCTCAGTGTATCATGCCTCAGTGCATCATGCCTTAGTCTATCATGCCTTACTCTATCATGCCTCAGTGTATCATGCCTCAGTGTATCATGCCTCAGTGTATCATGCCTCAGTGCATCATGCCTCAGTGTATCATGCCTCAGTGTATCATGCCTCAGTGCATCATGCCTCAGTCTATCATGCCTCAGTCTATCATGCCTCAGTCTATCATGACTCAGTGTATCATGCCTCAGTGTATCATGCCTCAGTCTATCATGATTCAGTGTATCATGCCTCAATCTATCATGCCTCAGTGTATCATGCCTCAATCTATCATGCCTCAGTGTATCATGCCTCAGTATATTATGCCTCAGTGTATCATGCCTCAGTGTATCATGCCTCAGTGTATCATGCCTCAGTGTATCATTCCTCAGTGTATCATGCCTCAGTGTATCATGCCTCAGTGTATCATGCCTCAGTGCATCATGCCTCAGTGTATCATGCCTCAGTGAATCATGCCTCAGTGTATCATGCCTCAGTGCATCATGCCTCAGTGCATCATGCCTCAGTCTATCATGCCTCAGTCTATCATGCCTCAGTGTATCATGCCTCAGTGTATCATTCCTCAGTGTATCATGCCTCAGTGTATCATGCCTCAGTGTATCATGACTCAGTGTATCATGACTCAGTGTATCATGACTCAGTGTATCATGCCTCAGTCTATCATGACTCAGTGTATCATGCCTCAATCTATCATGCCTCAGTGTATCATGCCTCAATCTATCATGCCTCAGTGTATCATGCCTCAGTGCATCATGCCTCAGTCTATCATGCCTCAGTGTATCATGCCTCAGTGTATCATTCCTCAGTGTATCATGCCTCAGTGTATCATGCCTCAGTGTATCATGCCTCAGTGTATCATGACTCAGTGTATCATGACTCAGTGTATCATGACTCAGTGTATCATGACTCAGTGTATCATGCCTCAGTGCTCCATTTCTGTCCTGATTCTCACATTCTAACACAAATTATAATACTTGATAAATTAATAATGATGAAAAATTATTTAATAATGTGAAAGAGAAACATAAAATTGACACTAAAAATATTAATAATATTAATAATAATAATAATAATAATAATAATAATAATATTATTATTATTATTATTATTATTATTAATAAAAATAAGAGAAATAATAATATTCAGTTCACAGTCTGGAGGAGCGCAGGTGGATTAAAATGGGAAGAATTTCGACGACGGGCGAAATAATATGACTCATGCCCAATATTTCATTCTAGGCAATAAAGAGCGTTGACTCGTTGAGCGAAGCATTATGCGAGCTTCGTTACGCATCGTTCAACTCAACGACAACACTTTTTTGTTTTTTATAGTTATATCTGAAAATCCTTTTACGGCTTTAAGCTTGTGTCGGATTATTTCTCTCTCTCTCTCTCTCTCTCTCTCTCTCTCTCTCTCTCTCTCTCTCTCTCTCTCTCTCTCTCTCTCTCTCTCTCTCTCTCTCTCTCTCTCTCTCTCTCTCTCTCTCTCTCTCTCTCTCTCTCTCTCTCTCTCTCTCTCTCTCTCTCTCTCTCTCTTTCTCTCTCTCTCTCTCTCTCTCTCTCTCTCTCTCTCTCTCTCTCTCTCTCTCTCTCTCTCTCTCTCTCTCTCTCTCTCTCTCTCTCTCTCTCTCTCTCTCTCTCTCTCTCTCTCTCTCTCTCTCTCTCTCTCTCTCTTTCTCTCTCTCTCTCTCTCTCTTTCTCTCTTTCTCTCTTTCTCTCTTTCTCTCTCTCTCTCTCTCTCTCTCTCTCTCTCTCTCTCTCTCTCTCTCTCTCTCTGTCTCTCTCTCTCTCTCTCTCTCTGTCTCTCTCTCTCTCTGTCTCTCTCTCTGTCTCTCTGTCTCTCTGTCTCTCTGTCTCTCTCTCTCTCTGTCTCTCTCTCTCTCTCTACTCTTTCTCGATCCCGAGAGACTACCTCATTCTAAATTGGTCCAATTTGTATCCACTGTTGCTAGTCTGAGTTGATTTCCAGCCGGCGTATATTATCCCTGTTTACGCCTCGCTGTGTATTCACGTGAGTCGTCTCCTTATTCGCTGCTTCTTACAAGTGTCTTGTTAAATACGGGGATGGCCAATATCCCATCCCATGCAACTCTGGGACTATCCTCGTCCTAAATTTCTGAACCTTATCCAGTTTCCTTATGTGTTTCTTCTGGTAGGGACTCCATGATGGGGCTGCATACTCTAAGACTGGCCTCACGTAGGCAGTGTAAAGCGCCCTAAATGCCTCCTTACTTAGGTTCCTGAATGATGTTCTAACTTTTGCCAGTGTAGAGTACGCTGCTGTCGTTATCTTATTTATATGTGCCTCAGGAGATAGATTAGGTGATACGTCCACGTCCAGGTCTCTTTCGCGCGTCGTCACAGGTAGGTAGTTGGACTTCATTGTGAACTGTCCCTTTGGTCTGCTATCCCCTAGTCCCATTTCCATAACATTATATTTGCTCGTGTTGAACTCCAGTAGCCATTTCTCTGACCAACTCTGCAACCTGTTCAGGTCCTCTTGGAGGATCCTACAATCCTCATCTGTCACAACTCGTCACAATAATATAATAGAACTGAAATAGAACTGGTCCCAGTACCGATTCTTGAGGTACTCCACTCGTTACTGTTCGCCAGTCCGACTTCTCGCCCCTGACTGTTACTCTCTGGCTCCTGCCTGTTAGGTAATTCCTTACCCCTGCTGGGGCTTTTCCGCTTACTCCTGCCTGCCTTTCAACTTTGCATAGCAGTCTCATGTGTGGTTCTGTGTCAGAGGTACTATATGTACACTTTGTGTGTGTGTGTGAGTTCTCTTTGTTTGTGTGTACTCACCTATTTGTACTAGCCTATTTGTGCTTGCGGGGATTGAGCTTTGGCTCTTTGGTCTCACCTCTCAACTGTCAATCAACTGGTGCACATACTCCTGAGCCTATTGGGCTCTATCATATCTACATTTAAAACTGTGTATGGAGTCAGCCTCCACCACATCACTGCCTAATGCATTCCATCCGTTAACTACTCTGACACTGAAAAAGTTCCTTCTAACGTCTCTGTGGCTCATGTGGGTACTCAGTTTCCACCTGTGTCCCCTTGTTCGCATCCCACCAGTGTTGAATAGTTTGTCCTTGTTTACCCGGCTGATTCCCCTGAGGATTTTGTAGGTTGTGATCATGTCTCCCCTTACTCTTCTGTCTTCCAGTGTCGTAAGGTGCATTTCCCGCAGCCTTTCCTCGTAACTCATGCCTCTTAGTTCTGGGACTAGTCTAGTGGCATACCTTTGGACTTTTTCCAGCTTCGTCTTGTGCTTGACAAGGTACGGGCTCCATGCTGGGGCCGCATACTCCAGGATTGGTCTTACATATGTGGTGTACAAGATTCTGAATGATTCCTTACACAGGTTCCTGAACGCTGTTCTGATGTTAGCCAGCCTCGCATATGCCGCAGACGTTATTCTCTTTATGTGGGCTTCAGGAGACAGGTTTGGTGTGATATCAACTCCTAGATCTTTCTCTCTGTCCGTTTCATTAAGTACTTCATCTCCTATTCTGTATCCTGCGTCTGGCCTCTTGTTTCCACTGCCTAGTTTCATTACTTTGCATTTACTCGGGTTGAACTTCAACAGCCATTTGTTGGACCATTCACTCAATCTGTCTAGGTCATCTTGTAGCCTCCTACTATCATCCTCAGTTTCAATCCTCCTCAAAATTTTTGTATCATCGGCAAACATTGAGAGGAACGATTCTATTCCCTCTGGGAGATCATTTACATACACTATAGTATAGCCTTGGACCTATACTTTCTCTCTATATAGAAACAGTATAGGTCCAAGGACTGACCCCTGCGGGACTCCACTCGCAACATCTCGCCAATCTGAGACCTCAGCCATCACACTGACTCGTTGTCTCCTGTTGCTTAGGTACTCCTTTATCCAATGGAGTACCTTCCCTTTCACTCCAGCCTGCATCTCCAGCTTTTCACTAGCCTCTTGTGTGGCACTGTATCAAATACTTTCTGACAATCCAAAAACATGCAGTCTGCCTACACTTCTCTTTCTTGCCTTATTTTTGTTGCCTGGTCGTAGAATTCAAGTAACCCTGTGAGGCAGGACCTGCCATCCCTGAACCCATGTTGATGCTGTGTTACAAAGTTCTTTCGCTCCAGATGCTCCACTAGTTTTCTTCGCACAATCTTCTCCATCAACTTGCATGGTATGCAGGTTAGGGACACTGGCCTGTAATTCAGTGCCTCATGTCTATCCCCTTTCTTGTATATCGGGACTACGTTAGCTGCTTTCCAAATATCTGGCAGTTCCCCTGTTGCCAGTGATTTGTTATACTCTATGGAGAGTGGGAGGCACAGTTCTTCTGCTCCTTCCTTTAGTATCCAAGGGGAGATTCCATCTGGGCCTTTGTCACATCCAACTCTAGTAAACACTTCCTTACTTCCCCGCTGGTAATCTCAAACTCTTCCAGTGGTTCTTGGTTAGCTATTCCCTCTCTTATCTCTGGAATTTCTCCTTGCTCTAAGGTGAAGACCTCCTGGAAATTCTTATTCAGTTCCCCACACACTTTCTTGTCATTTGTAGTGAATCCTTCTGCCCCTATCCTTAATTTCATAACCTTTACTGTTGTTTTTCTCCTGATGTGGCTATGCAGCAATTTAGGCTGAGTCTTTGCCTTGCTTGCGATGTCATTTTCGTATTGTCATTCTGCCTCTCTTCTCATCCTGACATATTCATTCCTGGCATTCTGGTATCTTTCTCTGCTCTCAAGTGTCCTGTTATTCCTATAGTTTCTCCATGCCCTTTTACTTTGCTGCTTAGCTAGCCTACATCTCTGATTAAACCATGGGTTTCTCATCTTCCTTTCACTGTTTTCCTTTTGGACTGGGACAAACTTGTTTGCTGCGTCCTTGCACTTCTGCGTGATGTAGTTCATCATATCTTGGGCCGTCTTTTCCCTGAGCTGTGTGTGTGTGTACTCGCCTTTTTCTATTCACTTATTTCTTCTCACCTAATTGTGCTTGCGGGGGTTGAGCTCTGGCTCTTTGGTCCCGCCTCTCAACTATCAATAAACTGGTGTACAGGTTCCTGAACCTATTGGGCTCTATCATATCTACACTTGAAACTGTGTATGGTGTCAGCCTCCACCACATCACTGCCTAATGCATTCCATCCGTTAACTACTCTGACACTAAAAAAATTCTTTCTAATATCTCTGTGGCTCATTTGGGCACTCAGTTTCCACCAGTGTCCCTTAGTGCGTGTCCCCCTTGTGTTAAATAGCCTGTCTTTATCTACCCTGTCAATCACTTTGAGAATCTTGAATATGGTGATCATGTCTCCCCTAACTCTTCTGTCTTCCAGCGACGTGAGGTTTAATTCCCGTAGTTTCTCCTCGTAGCTCATACCTCTCAACTCGGGTACTAGTCTGGTGACAAACTTTTGAACCTTTTCCAGTTTAGTCTTATCCTTGACTAGATATGGACTCCATGCTGGACCCGCATTCTCCAGGATTGGTCTGACATATGTGGTATACAAAGTTCTGAAAGATTCCTACCATAGGTTTCTAAAGGCCGTTCTTATGTTAGCCAACCTGGCATATGCCGCTGATGTTATCCTCCTGATATGAACTTCAGGGGACAGATCTGGCGTGATATCAACCCCCAGGTCTTTCTCACTCTCTGACTCTTGAAGTATTTCATGTCCCAAATGATACCTTGTAACTGGCCTCCTGCTCCCTACACCTATCTTCATTACATTGCATTTGCTTGGGTTAAACTCTAACAACCATTTGTTCGACCATTCCTACAGCTTGTCCAGGTCTTCTTGAAGCCTCAAGCTGTCCTCCTCTGTCTTAACCCTTCTCATAATTTTGTCATCGTCCGCAAACATTGAGAGAAATGAATCCATTCCCTCCGGGAGATCATTTACATATATCAGAAACAAGATAGGACCGAGTACAGAGCCCTGTGGGACTCCA